TATTGGTCTAATTCAAATACTGTTCTGCAATGGCTACAAACTGAGAAAAAGCTCCAAACATCGTTGCTGTAAGAGTTGGTGAAATGTTGGAAAATTAAAATCTGGAACAATGGAGATGGGTGCCTACTAACGACAATGTTGCTGATGTTTGCACAAGAAGTACCTCAAAAATTACTTTGACTCCAAATGATTGCTGGTTTACAGGACCAAATTTCCTACATTCTCAAGAAACTAACTGGCCCAAAATTTTAATACCAAAATATGAAGAAACAATAGAAAAAATTATTCAAATTGTGGAAACTAAAAATGAATGTAACAACTCTGATGATCTGCCTAAAATAAAAACTACTTACACCTGGATTAAATTACTGCGAATAACAGCAAGAATGCGACAATGCTACCTGAAACTGCGAAAACATAAAAAGTATAAAAGTTATGTGATTCCAGAATATTTAAAGTGGACAAAACAACAATGGTGGAAAGCAGTACAGCAAGATTGTTTTCCAATCGATTTGAAAAATCTACACAACAAAATTCTGAACAAAAATGGTCGTTTAATTAAGTTTTCGATAATTTTGGACTCAGATAATATAATAAGAATTGATACTAGAATTCCAAGAAACAAAAGAATAGAATTTATAACAGATGGTTTAGTTATTTTAGATGGAAATCACCCTTATACTAAGACAATGATCTTACATTACCACATCAAAAACGCTCATTATGTCATAGAAACTGTTATAAATGAGTTAAGACAAGACTTCTGGATACGACACATTAGATCTCAAGTGAAAAAGTTACTAAAGTCCTGATTGCAAACGAAAAAATTCCACACAAGTTACTCCAAGAATGGGTCTTTTACCAGAAGAACGGTTATTTAAAAATGAGAAAGCGATTTACAGCAACTGGTTTAGACTACTTTGGTTCTTTAATATTCAAAATAGGACGAAAAACGGACAAATGTTATGGTGATCTCTTCACATGCCTCACTAGTAGTCCATGTCAAAATTGCACATTCACTAAACACAGTTTCCTGCATCATGGCGATTAGAAGATTTCTGGCAAGACGTGAGCAGGTTAAAATTTTATGTTCTGACAATGGGACAAACTTGCGAGGAGCTAGTCGGGAACTGCAAGAAGCATTTGCAGAATGAGATATCAATTTAATGTAAGACATCCCAATAAATCGTGGCATTCAATGGAAATTCAATCCCCCCCGTCTTCCCCACACATGGGTGGATGCTGGGAACGACTGATATGATGTTTCAAAAGAGCCTTAATGGCAATTATGAAAGACAGACACCCATCAGAAAAAATATTAATGACCTTCTTTTGTGAAGTTGAATATATTTTAATTAGCCGACCATTGATTCATGTATCAGATAATGTATATAATGATTTGGCTATAACTCCAAATGGTATTTTATTGGTAAAAAAAAATCACACCTGGAGAAAACAATGGCGAGTATCCCAGTATTTAGCTGATTTATTTTGGAAATGATAGTTGCGGGAATATCTACCTACTATAATTATTGCTACAAAATGGCAAAAAGATGAAAAAAACCTAGAAGGTGATATGTTGGTGATAATAAATGACGATAACTTTCCACGGGGCGTATGGCCTTTGGGATAAATTGTTAAAACATTCGCTGACCCAGATAAAATAGTACGAGTTGTAGAAGTAAAGACATCACAGAGAATATTCAAACGACCCGCACGCAAAATATATAGATTGAGTCGTGTTGACCAAAGTCAACACGGGAGGGAGAATGTTAAGAAAATGGAGAGAAAATATCAAATATTAATTATTTTTTCTACGAGTGTGCGCAAAGTAACTACTTTGTGCATACGTGCGCACTTTTTTTTCTGGTACCCATAATAAAATCTGGGGACCCCCTATTTGGAGGGCAAAGCCTTGCGAGAGCCTCATATTTGGGGGCGGAGCCCCGCGGGAGACACTTTTTGAGGGGTACAGCCACGCGGGGGCCCGTCTTTAGGTGGCGAAGCCCCGCGAGAGCCCTATATTTGGGGGGCGGAGCCCTATTTTTGGCTGCGAGAGCCCCATATTTGGGGGCGGAACCCCGCGGGAGCCTTTCTTGGGGGGCACAGCCCCGCGGGCCCCCTTATTTAGGAGGGAAAGCCCCGCGGAGAGGTGATTGAATTTTTTTTTGCCGATTTAGATATACCTAGTTAGTTACAACAAATTGTTGTTTTTGATGCATATAGAAATTAAAAATTTAAAAAGGAAGTATAGTTATTTCACTCGTAGAAAAAGTATTGTTCCTAATACGTGCGCAAAGTAGTTTTCCCGCACTTAAAGCTTATCCGAACTCCGCTTCGCGTCGTTCGTCTAACTGCTTTCGCGTGCGGGAGAACATAACTTTGCGCACTGATTAGAAAAACTACTATATTAATTTTACCTATTAATTGTTAACCAGTTTTTTAACAATAAAAAAAAGGTGTTGTTGTATTGTCAAATTCAGTTCTGCGTGTGTCAAAAAATCTCTCCAATCATCATCAAATTTCTTCAAATATAGCTGTCTCTTTAACATTAATAGTTTTTAAATAAAAGGAAAACATCTATGAATAACCTCAAATATGAATATTCGATGGAAAATTTTATCCAAGTGAAGAGGGTTAAGGCCGAAACCCACTAGCAACACGCCACGCCACCCCACTGTGACACAGGTTCACGTGAGACAGTTTGTGTGCAAATGGACGGATGGCGTGGCGTGCCATGGCGTGGTATCGCGTATGGCAAGTGTGTACGCAGCACATATAAATAAATGGAAGAATATACGCATACATTTTCGTCACATGGCGTGGTGTGGCGAAGCATGACGTGGCGTGTTGCTAGTGAGTTTCGGCCTTTAGTGCTCAGACAAGAAGAAAAGAATAAGAACAGCTTCAAGGAATATTGTGAAAATATAAATAGACATACACCATTACAGAAAATCTGGACAACAATAAGAATATTCTCAAAAGGGGAATTAAATCAAGAAATAAAGCTCCAGAGCGGGAAATAGCAATAGAAATAATCAAAAACTTGAACCAGGTGAACATAGACCCACATTTCACAATGGGCAGAAGACATAAAAATTTCCAATTGAAAGAGGAAGAAGAAATAACTCTGGCTGAACTAGGAAATCTTTTGCCATGGAAAAAAGATTCGGCCCCTGGACTGGACAACATAACATTCTTCATGATCCAATATTTACCAAACTTTAGGAAAACAAATCTACTAAGAATATTCAATAATATCCTCAAAGAGAATAAGATACCAATGCAATGGAAGAAAATCTACATTTTCCCATTGTTGAAGGACAACAAAGACAAAGCAGCTGCAAAAAACTTCAGACCCTTAGTATTAACCTGCTGCCCTGCCTAGAATGTTTATCATACCTAACAGTAAAAATTGAAAAAAAAAACATCAAAAAGTTCATACACTTGTGGTTGTTCTGGACATAGCAGCTCCTTATGATCAAGTAAACATACACAAATTTTGCAATGCATTGAAAGAACTAGATACATCCACGGAGGTGAACAATTTCATATAGAATCTTCTCAATAATAGAGAAGCATACATAAATGATAATAATGGGGAAATGGCAGGGGCAGAAATGTTATCGACTGGGCTGGCCCAGGGTTCACCTCTGAGCCCTCTTCTTTTTAATGTTTACACAAAAAAGGTACACGAACTAAGCAGAGGGAAAATAACAATTTTACAATACGCAGATGACTTTACAATAACAGCCAAGAGTCAGATATATTGAAACTGTAATACAAGATATAAATGAATTATTATCTAATATATATAAGAATGTTCGGTGAACTAAATTTTAAAATCAACACCAAGAAATTTATTACTAATAGAAGCAAGTGAGCAATCCCTTGAGAAGAAAATGGCTTACCCAAAAATTGTAACTGAAAAACATGAAAATAAGGAACAACCCTATTATAATGTTTATTAAGTGGTTTTGGGAGCTGATGGATAGAAATGGAGGTTAATTTGCTAACAAAGAAGTCCCATACCTGGGACAGGAATATGGGGAACTGGAAGATAAAATAAAGAAATATGAAACACACCCCAGGTTTGAATTTGAATATAAATACCAAATAGGGAAAATACCAACCTGTAGAACGAATATCAACAAACAGGATATAGATATAAGAGGAAAATTTGCGGAAATAATAGATGAGAAGTTTAACCATTAATATCATTTTTACATAGATGCCAGTGGGGAAAAAAACACAAATGAAGCAGGGTTTTGTGTTTACTGCTCACAGGCAGATTAAGCATTCTCGTCAAGACTACCCAATTTGTAGCAATACACAAAGCTGTGGCTGTGTGTTTGGAAGAAAACATAAAAAGGAGCTTAATTTTGACAGACTCGCAAAGTGCGGTGAAAGCATTGGATTGTACAAATTCTAAAAATCTAGATCACATAATAGCAATGACTAAACAATAAATAATGGAAGCAAAATGAAAATGGTTTTGACATTAAAAACCTCTTGATCCAAGGACACTCAAATATCAGAGGCAACACGATAGCAGATCAATTGGCTAATGTATGTAGAAAGCCTAGGGTCCCGTATCCAACACCCCTTAAACTACATGGCAATTCCAACCAAAAAATATATGGTTCAAAAATTCCCACCGGTGGGAGAGATGGGTACAATATACGAGCCTTCGCTCTACAAATTATCTATTTAAATAATTTGTTATCCTTAGATAAAAATAGGCCACCCAAATGAATAGTTTTAATATTGTATGTAAAATTTGTTTTCTACTTCTCAATAGTCATTAATGCCTAATAATAAAGCATAAATATTAATATCTCTGCAAAATAATCTATAATTTCACATTCTATGAATAATTAAATATTTAATTAGTGGAAAATAATAATGCTTTGTTCATTTCACGTATAACCTCAATAAAATGCAGATCGCCTTTAATCCCGAAAATGAGAAACTCATTTCTTGGATCAAATTTATTATGATTTGTGCCGGTTTTTGGAATCTGCCTCTAACAAATCATTATTTCATTGAAAAATTATTTTCTATTTACTCAGTAATAATGAGATCTGGCTATGTCATGTTTTGGTTCTTAATAGTGTCTGAACTTATTCGTTTGATAATCTTCAACTATGAATTGCAGCTTATCATAACCAGCTTCAGTGTGGTGGTAAATGCTAGCAAAATATTCATGAAAGTCATTATTTATACGAAGCAAAATATTCTGGAACTTTTCAAAGATGTCATCGAGAAAGAGGAAGTAATTTGGGCATCCAATAATGAAATTATTAAAACTATGTATCGTGGAAAAATTCGCACTTTTAAAATATATACAGCGGCTTTGGCTATTTTTACTGTGTCGGCTGTAGTTTTGTTGCAAGGTTATGGTAAGATTTATAAAAATAATTCAAATTGTTGTAAATAACGAATGTAGTTCACAAAATTCATTCAGAATTACCTTTTTTTAGGCGCAGTAGGAGTTTTGCAGATAAAAGAGCACAACAAAAAGTTCAATACTAGCCTAGAGCCACATTCAATGTATCAAACCATTATTCCGTTGAATAAACTGGAACATGTAACTTTTTTTTTCGCTTTGGAAGCATTTCTGGCGTGGGTCGGTGTCACCTATAACTGCACGACTCATATGGTTTTTGTTGTTTTGCTCATGTTTTCAGCTTCCCAATTAGAAATGTTACAGATTCGTTTACGATATTATGTTGAAGAGGATTTTCCTGAAACACCGACTGAAGAGCAAATTAATGAAAAAATTGTATTGCTTAAAAGTTTTATTCGTGATCATATTTACATAATTAGGTAAGAATTTACTTGTATTTCCATAATTTATAAATGAAATTTAAAATAATTGCCTTTTTTTTTTCAGATTTGTCCAGCATTACAATAATTGTACAAAGTACATCATAATGGCGGAATTCCTTTTAGCTTCTTTCGATTTAGCTTCGGTTTCGATCAACTTAACTAAGCAGGTACCTACCTATCCAATTTTACTAGTGTAGTATTAATCCAGGTTAGGTTAGAAAATGAGTGGGCCTGTTAAGGCCCTCCATTGCGACTCATTGGTCTATTGTGGCACATGCCTATTTATATTTCTCCAATCATGCCTATTTTTCCAATGAAGTCAGTATCATCTGCCAGTCCAACCCTGCTTCCCAGCTTAGTTCTGCCGAGCTTCAGAATCCTTCCAACTGATCGTTCTTCCACCATTTGTCTTATGATTGCCTCTACTTGTATCATCCCTGCAGGCTTAGCCTTTGTTCGTAGGCTTTGTTGTCGGCCCAGATTTTAATGGTTTGATTTGCGGTGTTACGGGCAATACCCAGTACTGGCTCTGGCGCTGTGAACTTGGTTTCGGCTCCCCCTCTGGCCTCTGGCAAGGAGATCCGCGATTTCATTGCCGTCAAACCAACGTGTATCCACATTAGGTTTACCTTCCCTAATTTGCTTAGAGTTTCCTTGAGCCCGATTCTTGTCCCCAGGGAGTAGAGCTCCCCGGGAAAACAAATGTTTTGTCCTTGTCAACGTAATTGAAAAGTAAACGAGAATGATAAAGATAAAAAATTTGTTCTTTCAGGGAGCTCTCCTCTCCCTGAGACGAGAATTGGGCCCCTAATAGCGCCAAACTGTTCTTGAATTACAGTAGGTGAAGCTATATAAGCGCCTTCAAAGCGGCTTGGCTATCAGAATATACGTTAATGGTTTTGTGAGTTTAGGGTCGATTCTGTAGCCTCCTCACACCCATTTCAGTGGCACGCACTTTCGCTTGAAAGATGGTTGCATTGTTGCCTAGACTGATGGATAACCCTATTTTCGGTTTTGCACCATAAACCTCCGCTCCCACCCCACTGTCTGCCTTTGATCCATCGGTGAACAGACATAGAGCTGCTATTCACTCTTCCCTTCTTGGAAAAGCCACTGCCTACTTTGTAGGGTAGGACGCTTGTTGTATATGTTCTTGGCATAAGGTCCGTAAGCATTTCCAAACCACTTTGTGTTTTGATAAACTCCAGCAGTTTGGTGCCTTTTACGTTTCCTTTCTCATTCGTCTGATCTCTGCCCGTGTGGTATATTCTGTAGGTTGTTTTCAGGGCCTCCCTTTCCAGCTAGATATGTGAAGGGAGAATTCTTAGGAGAAGGTCCATGACTGCTGTTGGCGTAGTGCTGAAAGCTCCTGTTATTGAGAGGAATGAAGTTTTGTCGGTTACAACAATCGAAAAGCGTGGAAATTGAAAATAAAGAAAAAGTTAAGGAAAATTGGAGGGTTAAAAATTTTGGCCTTGGGCGGGATTCGAACCCGCGTCCTCAGCATTGCCTGTGCTGCGTATTACGTCGATATCCAAAAAAATGCCACGAGAGAAGTTTTTGTAGGGTTTTAGATTTATCAATTTTTGGTAACTATAATAGTTAGGTAAAATAAAAGAATAGTTATGTAAAATAAAAGAATAACAATACAAAGCAAAGCCTTCTAGGCTGCTTTGAATAATAAATTATATGTTCTCAGTGAACTCATTTTCGGCGAAATCAGCCCTTGACACTGAGAGAGAAAGATATACATGTAGTATACATGAATATAAACTAATTACTAAATGAACAATGATACAATGACATAGCAATTAAATAATTATCTCTAACGCTGATGAATCATATAAATCATAATATACTAAGCCACCATGACCCTACAGATCTTTTTGATTTTTTGTTTTGTTGATGTTAGAGGAAGTTGCGTGGTTCTCCGCTCATTGCCAAACTTCTCAATTCTCCAGTAGACCCATACTTTTATGGCATCGGTCCTAACTCGAATAAGCTCCTTATTACTATGTAGGCTTCGTCCATGTGTATTGAAACTTGGTGTATGTGATGCCCGCATAAGCAATGTTGAAAGGAATGAAGTTTTGTCGGTTACAACAACCGAAAAGCGTGGAAATTGAAAATGAAGAGAATGTTAAGGAAAATTGGAGGAGAGAGGAGAACCAGCAGAGAACCACGCAACTTCCTCTAACATCACTAAAACAAAAAATCAAAAAGATCTGTAGGGTCATGGTGGCTTAGTTGGTTAGAGCGTAGCACCGGCAATGCTGAGGACGCGGGTTCGAATTCTGCTCAAGGCCAAACTTTTTAGTCCTCCAATTTTCCTTAATTTTCTCTTCATTTTCAAGCTTCTGTTATTGCCAAACAGGCCTGTCTTTTAGTCCGTTGAGCTTGGTTTGGGCAGTGCGTTGTTGCCCTTTTCCCACCAGACTCCTGAGCCATGTTACTATCGGTCGGATGATCAGTATACATATTTGCTTGGGACTAATTCCCCATGATTTGCCACAGATCCTGCGGCAGGTCTATAGTGAGTAGCTAGATTTCTGTTTTATTTTTGCCAGATGGAACTTCCAGTAGGTGAGGTTTTTTTAGAGTAATTCCTAGATATTTGACTTCGTTTGTAAAGGGTACCACGATCCCTTGTAGGTTAAGCCATATTAGGGGTATCAGATGGTCAAACATCCTTTTCCTTGTACTACAGCACTCCAGTTATTTTGTGATGATTTATTGTAATATCCTCACCATGCGAGTATTGTGTCTATTATTTCCTACAGGGTTTCGGAGAGTCTACGTTCCGATTTTTCCTTTTATTACAATGGCTATGTCTGAGGGCTATGTCGTCCGCATAGGCTTGCAGGTCGACCTCCCACAGTTGGACTATTGCCAGTAGATTGTCCACCAACAGAGATCACAGAGGAGGAGAGAGAACCCCTCTCTGCGGGAAACCCCTGGCAGTTCTAAACTGTACTGTTTCTCCCTGTAGGGTCGTCGTTATATAACTGCTCTCGTAGTCGATTCATAGGGGGAGTTATTAAAAGTGTTGTTGAAGGCTCCCTCTATGTTGCTGAACGCTGCTAACGTAGTCTCCTTGTTGTCAAGGGACTGGCTAATTTTTGTGACCAATCTCTGATGAACAACTTCCGTCGATTTGCCACTCTGTTAGGCGTACTAATGAACACTCAATTGGTTGTGCCCCATTGGTCCATCCCTGATGTGTACGTCCAGCACTTTCTCCAGAGTTTTCAGAGAAATGTATGTAAGACTTATTGGTCTGAACGATTTAGCTTCTACCTGTCTTGGGTATATACACTCGCCGGCACAACATTCCGCCACTCTGAAATTTTGGCCAAGTTTTATATTTTATAACTTTTTTATTTTTTATCCGATTTCCGTGATTTTGTTACATATCAGCTTGTAAATCTATTTATTGTGTTTTTTTTCTGATTATTTCTTAAAATAACATTTTTCGATTACCTACACTATATTATACAGGAGTAAAGCAAACTGTTATTTTTGGTCGTTACTTTAAAAGACTCTGGTGAATGATTCGTCGAGTAGGTAAAGTCCGTCGTTTTTAAACTGAAACTTTCCGTATGAGGAGCGAGGGGGCATTTCATATGGCAAAAACAGGTGTGACGTCAGGTAACCATTAACGCTCTAATGTAGGGAGCCACCAGCTCAAATTCCGTTGGAGTATCAGATTAAAATCGACAGACATTACATGTTAGTGAAAAAACGATACGAATACTGGCAGAAGCTGGGCTTCATTCAAGAGGACTATCAAAATGTCTACTATTACTTCTTCGGCATCGATAACACCGACTGAGGTTTGCAAGATTGCATTCTGACTGGAATCTAGAACAGTGGGAAAACGTACTATTCACAGATGAATCCAGGGTTTGTTCAAGGACGCCGGATGGTCGTAAACGGGAATGCTTACCTAAAAATGAAAGATATGCTGAATGCACCATATCAGAAAGAATCTTATATCATGACGGTTTAGTCATGATTTGGGCGGGTATATCTACCGTAGCACGCACCGATCTTGTATTGTGTGTGGAAATCGAGCTCTAACCGCCCACCACCGCGGACCGTTCGTTATCGTCCTGCGCAACCACAAATCTTGCAAGACTCACGACTGGTGCTGACCGAAGAATATGAGGCTATTCCTCAAGAAAGAATAAGAAATCTTCCATACCATTCGAAGTGACGAAGGCTGCAAGCTTCCATTTCTGCGAGAGGAGGAAATACACGTTATTGAAATTGTTTTTGTTAAGGGTTTTGTTGAAGCTGAACCCGTATTGGAAGAGAAAAAAAAAACCTACATCAGAATTGGCTCAAATTTGGCATAAAAATTCTTTAATCAGTTATCTACAAGCCTAATATTTCAGTTTTTCGATTTGCTGTGACTTCTTAAAAATAATCCATGAATACCTAAATCCTGAAAAATGGGCTACCAAAAAAGGCTACCATACACCTTTTCTTTTGGAGAAAAACGCAAAATATCGAAAAACTAAAATTTTCGGATTGTAGATAACTGATCAAAGAATGTTAATGTCAATTCAGATGTAATTTTTTTTTCTTTTCCAAAACAGGTTTAGAAAATCAACCAATCAGGGTACAGAACTAATGCCATTAATGCGCCCTTAATAAAAACAATTTCAATAACGTGTATTTCCGACTCTCGCAGAAATGAGAGCTTGCAGTTTTCGTGACTTCGAATGGTATGAGGTTTCTCATTCTTTCTTGAGGAAAAGCCTCATAATATTCGGTCAGCGTTAGTCGTGAGTCTTGCAAGGCTTGTGGTTGCACAGGACGAACGGCTCAATTGGGTTGAGATCCGGGCTACACGCGGGCCATTCCAATCTTGAAATCTAACTTCATATTTTCGCTCACTTCATGTAGAACGAGGTTTAACATTATCATGCATTAATGTAAATTGGTTCCTAATGAAAGGAGCAAATGGAACAACAACTTCTTGGAGGATTTCCTCAATGTAACGGTGGGCGGTTACCGCTCCATTTTCACACCAAATACAAGATCGGTACGTGCTTTGGTAGAAATACTCGCCCAAATCATGACTAGGCCGTCATAATATGCGATTCATTTTGATATGGCGTAGTCAGCATATCAATCATTTCTACGTTTGTATACCCGCTCACGACTATCCGGTATTTTTGAATAGTAGGTT